CCAGGCCAGCCCCAGCCCCAGCCCGGTGGGCTACAGCCCGATGACCCCCGGGGCTCCGTCCCCGGGCGGGTACAACCCCCACACCCCCGGTTCGGGCATCGAGCCCGGCGCGGGCGATTGGGTGACCACGGACATCCAGGTCAAGGTCCGGGACTCGTACCTGGACAGCGCGGCCGTGGGGCAGACCGGGGTCATCCGCAGCGTCACGGTCAGGACACGCGCGGGGCGGGGCTGGGGGGGTTTTGGGGGTGGGATTTGGGGGAGTTGGAAGGTGGAGCATCATCCACGTGCCTGCCTGCCACATATTTTGGGGTGTTTGGGCGGGGCTTTGGGGTTTTGTGGGGGGGTTTTGGGTGTCTCCCGCGAGGTTGAGCCCCCCGGGACCCCCAGGGCGGGATGTGCTCAGTGTACCTGAAGGACAGCGAGAAGGTGGTCAGCGTGTCCAGCGAGCACCTGGAGCCCGTCACACCCACCAAGAGCAACAAGGTGGGACCCCAAACATTTCTGGGAGCCTCAAAACACTCCTGGGATCCCTTAGAAACCCCTGAGACCCTCAGAATCCCTCTGTGCCCCCCCAAACCCCCTCTGGGACCCTCCCCCCCAACCATCCCTGACCCCCATATTCACGCCCCCAGGTAAAGGTGATCTTGGGCGAAGACCGGGAGGCCACCGGGATCCTGCTGAGCATCGACGGCGAGGACGGCATCGTGCGCATGGACCTGGAGGAGCAGCTCAAGATCCTCAACCTGCGCTTCCTGGGGAAGCTGCTCGAGGCCTGAGACCCACCCCGGGAATCCCTCTGCCCTATTCTCCCTTTTCTCTCTTCCTTTTCTCCCTGTTTTCCCACGTTTTCTGCCTCTCCCCACCCTTTTTTGTCCCCCCATTTATTGTAACCAGGTTTTAGGTATCTAATAAAGAACTGGGGGTGCAGCACCCGCTCGTTTCCAGCTTTCTGGGGGGGCATGAGAGGGGAAGACCCCTCCCCACATAGAGGGTGTGTGGAGGGATAGAGGGGCTTGAGCCCAGGCACCCCTGTGCTCCTTTTGAGTTGGGCCTTGAGGGAGGTTGGGGGGTAGAAAGAGGCTTTTTGCAGGAGCGGTTGGAGTCGGTTTTAAGGCCTCTTTTGGTGCCGCTTTTTTGACCCGGGCCCGGCTCCACGTGTTCTCCCGGTTTATGGCCATCTCTGCCAGCCTTTGCTCTGATTGGCTACGGTGCCACTGGCCCCGCCTCCCGCGCGCCGCCGTTGGCCGCTGGACGCGCCGCCATTGGCCAGCGGCCGCTGCGCCCCGTCATTCCCGCTTTGTTCCCGTCTCTGATTGGTTCTTCCCTCTCCCACCGCTCCGATTCGATTGGCTGCCGCTCCCGCGCCGGCGCTTTGCCGCACAGCAACATGGCGGCGTCCATGGCGGGGCGAGCGGTGGCTCTGGGGGTCCGCGCGGCCTTCGGGGGGCGGCGGGGCCGGGCCGCGACCCCCGCGGTGCCACCCCCGGATCTGCCCGGGCCCCGCCGCCCCCTCAGCGGCCCCGCCGCGGGGGGCCCCGATACGGCCGCGGTGCTGCGGGAGCGGCTGCGGCAGCACCAGGTGGGGACACAGCGGGACACAGGGGGGACACGTGGGGGGGTCGCGCGTGGCCGTCCCCCCGATGGGGCGGGTCCGGGGGTCCCCAGACGTCTTCGGCCACCCCCGGGAGTCCCCATGGGTCGCGGGAGCCTCGCGAGGGTTTCCAAGTGTCCCCCCGCAGGTGGTCGCGGACCCCTTGTTCCCAAGTGTCCCCAGGCCTCACCCGTCCCCCGTGGCCCCGCCCGGGTCTCAGATCTGTGTCTTTGCCGGTGACTGGGGACCCCCCTCCAGGTGTCCCCCTCGCTGTCCCCCCGCAGGTGACCGCTGTGCACCCCCCCGTGTCCCCAGCTGTCACCTGTGTCCCCTCGATGTCACACCCCCCCGCTGTCCCCAGGTGTCCCCGGCTCTGAGCTGTCCCCGCAGGTGACCGGGGACTCTGCTCCCTGTGTCCCCCCTTCCCCCCGGTGTCGCCAGGTCTGACGTGTCCCCCTGTCCCCGCAGGTGGCCGGTGCCACTCCGGGCCCGCAGGACGAGGAGCCATCCCGGGGGTCTCTGCGGCGCCTGGCGCTGCGCCTGGGGGGGCTGCTGGCGGCCACCGGGGGCGTGGCCGTGCTCTACATCTTCGGTGCGTCCCCAAGTGACCCCAGGTGTCCCCGAGTGTCCCCTCATGGTCCCCCCGTATTTACTCGTGTCCTCTCGTGTCTCCAACGCCTCCTTTTGTATCCTCCTGGGTTCTCCCGTGTCCCCTGTCCCCCACCAAAGACCCTGAGCAGTGCCCCCACAATGTCCCCAAATGTCCCCCCGTGTCCACCAAGTCCCCTTTGCATCCCCCCCAATCCCTGATGCCCCCTGTCCCCTCCATGACCCTGGTCTGTGTCCCCCCCAGTGTCCCTTCATGTCCCCTCGTGTCCTCCCACTTCCCCTGTGCCCCCCAGTGACACGGGGGAACACTGACTGGTGTCCCCATGTGTCCCCCCGATGTCCCCCCACAGGCAGCAACGCAGTGGACGAGCACGGGGAGAAGGTGAGGAGACAAAGCAGGGGGGTTGTCCCTAAAGGGAGAAAATTGTCCCCAAAAAGAGTGGCAGGTCCCCAAGGGGGAGGGAAGGTCCCCATTGGGGGTATCCTGTCCTCAAGGGGGCCCCCCTTGTCCCTTCGGTGTCACTTTTGTCACCCCAAGCCCCTTTTTGGCGCCATCTGGATTTGCAGGCGGGGGTGGGGACATCCGGGGCACATGGGGACATCAAAGGGTTCGCGGGGAGGTGACAACGACCCAGGGGAGGACGACAGGACGTGAGGCTGTGGTGTCACCTACCTGGAAATTGTCCCTGTCCCCTGGGCTGGCCCTGCCCCCTCCTTGTCCCCTCAGTGTCCTCGCAGTGTCCCCTCAGTGTCCCCTTGACATCCCCACAGTGTCCCCTCAGTATCCCCTCGGTGCCACCTCAGTGTCCCCTCAATGTCCCCACAGATCCCCGATGAGTTCGACAGCGGTGAGTGACCTCCGGGAGGGAGGGAGTGACAGGGGAGGGGACACCCCGGTGCCACCTGTCAGTGCCATTTGTCACCTCGGTGTCACCCCCAGCCCCTTTCACACCCTGGTGTGACCCAAAAGGGTTTTTTTCTTTGGGCTGTTTCGGGCTGGGATGGTGGGGGGGGTTGGTCCCTGTCCCCTCCCTGGGGGGGTCTGTCCCCTCTGGGGGTCACTGTGCCCCCCAGGGACACAGGGGTCTCATGGGGGCTCCGCAGACCCCGTGGGGATCCGGCACCTCCGCAGGACCTTCAAGTACTTCAAGGATTACAGACAGGTGCGATTTGGGGTGGGGGGATCCTGGGAAGGTTTTGGGGTGTCCCCAGGAGTCCCGAGGAATGGGAGAGACTCTGTCATTGTCCCCCAGGGGTCTGCCAACAGCTTTGTCCCCCAGGTTGGAAGTGTTTGGTGGCCCCGTCCTGGGGAAGGGGGTGGGGGTTG